GGGGGGGGGGCGGGAATCAGCATTTCTGTTTCAAAGAAGGAGCAATTAGTTTCTTTTTAGACAATACACTCTGTGGATATGCAAGAATTAAAATACTTCAGCTTTGGTACTTGACTTGAGTGACCCTTGTCTCCCAACACACACAAGGGATAGGGTAGAGATCGCCCAGGGACAACCTAGAACACAGGTTTTTAGCCTGATTTGTCTGCTGACTACACAAGGAGGCTAGAAAAGTTTCTCTCTTCAGCTGTTAGTGCAAGTGCTCTCCAAACTGGCTCACTTCCTACTAGAAGCAACACACTCAAAAGAAGGCACATATCTCACCAGAAAGGCAATTAAAAAATTACTTAAAAACACAGACCAAACACCAACCCACAAGCTTCTGGTTTACAAGTGAAGAAGTCACTGCAGGAAAGCAGAGCTCAGCAAGGCACAAACACTGACAGAAATACACTGCGATCCAAGGAAGTGCACGAGCAAAACATTCTCCCCAGCTTCAACAAGCAACAACAAATGTCACCCAGTGTACCAGCAGGACAGACTGACTGTAGCAATAGTAGCAATAAGCAGCACCGGAGCACTGAGTCACCACACTTGGACTTTTAAACTATATGATTAGAGTGACCACTGACTAATCAGATATGCTTTAAAAGAATTCCTCTCAAATGTCACTCCTATACCCTCATCCAGGAGTACGGGCAACTTCATTTAGGCTAAAATCCAAGACTAACATTTGTATTCTTAATCATTCGCAGACTTTTACTTTTCAGAAATTTGCTGGACTATCTTAAATGAATTATAGTAATTAAAACAATCTTGAGTTTCAAATAGCCTTCAAATACTTTCATCATCCTAGTCAAGTGGTTAGTCCTTTATATAAAATAATTGAACCTATACCCATATTATAACCCAATAACCAGGAAAAGAAAAACTAAGTAGAAAAGTCAAGGCAATTCTTACTCACTTAAAATATGATTAAGAATCTTAAGACAAAATTGCTTTTGTTCTGTTACTGTTTATGTATCTAGGCCATCATCCTACAATGCTGACTATACTTAAAATACTACTTAAAGTATTTGCTGTTTCAATATACTGAGTGCTTTATTTTACTAATTGTCAGCTAATATCATACATTAATAATTCCCCTAACTACCTGAAAAGGCTTTGTGTAGTCAATAAAAATATATTTATGCCTGAAAATTACTACATTATACATGCCAGTGAAGGATTTTGGTTGAACAAGTTTTCTTCTCTGAAGCTTTTAAAATGCATTATAAAACAAAAGAACCTTGTAAGCTTAAAAAAAAACCAAAACAAAACAAAACCAACACCTGAAAAACAAAACCCACACCAATATGAAGTGCTGGGCTACTCCCTCTCCTTTAAAAGTAAAATCTTGAGTACCTCCCCTTATATGGTTTTCTTAACGTAATACCAACCAAATCAAAGTTGGAAAATAAGTAACCTAATTGCTCCAGGATCCCTGGAACTTTGCCAGAATTCCTGAAGCGAAAGTGTGCGCCCATGCTTTGTAGCACCAATGCAATAAATCCAAAGCTTCAAAATATTTCCACAGATACTCTTCTTATGCTGCAAAAGACATTAGACAGGCAACGGTTCCAACATTTTCAGGAAGTGCCTGCATTAGGCAGTTCATTCACATGCATGCTGGAAAAAAGTCCAAGATTTCTAAAGGCATGGCCACATGTCCAAGGCAAATCCAAGAGCTGTTCAACACATGGTCTAGCCCTTGGCATTGTGGAACAGATCTGGAAGTCACAACAACCTGTGTTTACCTGCCATCTTTTCCATGGCCTGGCAACCTCTCCCTATCCCACTGGGCATCTCATGTACATGCTACTTGTGTAGGTGACTAAGTAGCACACAGATGGAAGTCACTCAGTCCCCATCTGATGCCCTGCAGGAAGAGTGTCAGGGGGAGGGTCACCACAGCAGTTCACAACATTTGCCACCACTAAGCACAAGTGAAACAGAGCACAGGCTGCCCAATAACCCTGAGAGCAGTGTCAAATTGCCCAGAGCTACCTTTCCCCTCACAGGGAAGAAACAAGGAGTCCCACTTACACACACTCATTCTGCACATATGCAGCAAAATCCAAGGTCTCACAGACCATCATATTTACAGTACACACACAAATCAGATATCCTATGCAGAATAAGATGGCCTGACCATCAGGTAAAATGAAGAAGCAGTGTTATGGTGTACAGCCTCTCCCCTACAAGTCCTGTGCCCAGCCAGAAAGCCTCGGTACTATTGACAGGAAAACTACTCGACTGCATGGTGCTTCGGGCTATGCTCCAAGCAGTAGATATCTCCAGAAACTGTTTGGAAAATATTTTAAAAACCTAATTCTACCTCAACAACATCTTCAGGAAGAGTTAAAAAACAAGGCCTATAAAACTGTTTTTGCACGTGGATCTATGAAATCACCATTCCAACCAATTCTGTCTAACCCTTCTTCCATCATTTCACACTGCTCTCAACCTGCATCACTATCACAGCAGAAACTCTGAAGCAAAGCAATTAGGAGGTTTCAACGTCGGGGTTTTTTCTGGCATTGCTTTTCTAAGAAATTAATTCCAAGGCGAATAAAGAAAAAAAAAAAGATCCTCCCACAAACTCTTAACTTACTCTTGCAGAGTTTCCACTCCTTTTTCTTTATATTGCAGCTCCTGCTTCATCTGTGCCAATTCCCGTTTTAGCCTAGAAAGCTGAATATAAGAAAATAATTTAAAGCAATAATATGGAACAGAAACTTTCATAATAAAAATAACTGTTTTTCAAATATAAAAAACTTAAGTCACTTTAAAAAAATTGGAAGTGATAATCTAAGTTCTCTTCTTTTTTTGCTTTAAAATTTAGATTAAAACAACAGAAGACTTTCTGATATACCATCAGACCCATTCAAACAGTGATCACAACATTCAGCTTTCAAAGCATCAATTTTCTCATCTATTTTACTGGTTTTCTATTTCTAATAGCTTATGCTAACAGCTAGCAAATTTAAATTCATATGGTTTTTCTTCTCCCCTTGTAGCAATCACCTCTCAACTGTCTTCAACTCTTTAGTCAACTTTAAAAAAAAAAAAACCTGAACATTCAACACTGTTAATCTTTCAATCTGGGAAAACAAAAATCACTGGCAACAGAACTGGCCTCTGTCCCAGAAATGGCAGCCTGATGTTCTACAGTTATTTTCATATTGTCCTGCCCTCTCAATCCCCCTGCCAATTACCTTGATCCAACTAGCAAATATAAATCAAAAGTGACAGAGCAGAGATATGTCCAAAACCGTATTTTTGTGGTTTTATGAAAAGTTACCTGAGTAGGTTGGGCAGACTTTGGAAGAGTGCTATCAGCACCAAGAATGATTCGCAAAGAAATAGTTTCTTGTCCTCCAAAACTGATAAGATAACTGAGGGCAACGCAGGGAGGAGGATGCAAGGGACTAGAGACAAATGGGGGGAACTGAGCTGTGTGGTAGTGCAGGTGTAAGACTGTACTGAGAGCCCAAAGAGAAGAAGGGATGGAAGAAGCTCAAGCTATTGAACTTGGTAACTTCTCTAAAATTTACCCAGAGCCCTCTTGATTTTAACACATACGTTAATAAATGACAAAAACATTAGTAAAAAAGAAAAGAGTAAAAATAAAAAAAAAAATGCCACACATCCAGGCACAGATTAATTTTGTCCACTCTAACAGTAAGGGGCTTTGCAACAGATAGACCATCCTGCATGACCCTCCCTTCCACATGTGTTCTTGACCTTTCTTCAAAACTCATTGCATCAGCCCCCAAAACACTCCTACCCTCATCAACATTTTCACCACTCACCAAAAGTAAAATGGAAAAAATGTATCACTAATATCATGTACATGAACACATTCTAGTGCATATTTTGTTCTGTTACCTGAAACAACTCAAAGCCTATTCACACATTCAGTTGAACAGGTTATCCTATGCACTTACAAGATCGTTTTGCTTTAAGAGGCAGGAACAGAGAGAAAGAGTCATGTAAGTGAAGACCTTGTTTATTTTCTTTAAATATTATTTAAATAAATATGGCTTATTTTCTTGTTTAGAATATGCTGACATTTAGAGTATGTAAAACAAGCAAACACTAGTCAGCACGTAGTAAACATATACAGATAGAATAAATGCCTTTGAAGGGTGTTGAACGGGATTTATTTTCAGAGGCACTCATGTGAAAAGTCACTACAACAAAAATGGAACACTATCCTGCAAAGATAAGTTGTTGGTTTTTTTATTTTGTGAGCTGAGTGCCTGGTATACTAAATCCTATTTTATCCATTAATAAAAAGAAACATACAATTTAGAAATAGGTTCTAGAGCTTAGTATTATAAACTGCTTTTTATAATTGTTTATGACTGCTATATCAATTTGCTTGAAACCAAGGTGCAGACTTTAACTCTCTGCTAAAGCAGCATGGGAGAAAAATCAAGAAGTCAACTATTCTTCCTTCAGCAAAGAAAGTATTAAAAGCATAATTCTAGTTTTAAAAAACCAAAATATTAAAACGGAACATTTTTATTACAGAACTGCCTATCACTGCCAGAATGTTTGTATTCCCCTCCCCTCATACAGGAGTTGTAGCCACATCAGCTAAAAAGTTCTGTTTGGTCAACATATCTACTGAATTGTGAACAGATTCTCAAATAAATGGCTAAATCTAGAGTTCAATGACATCCATGGAACCCCACTGAAAATGGGTAAATGGGAAAATATGAAGACAGCGGGTTTGAACTGCACTCAATCAAGAAAGAATTTGGCTGCAGAGTATTTAGTACTTGTGGCAGTTTGCAGAGAGAAAGCAATTTCTGAAAGCCTGGCTCAGTTTGCCGCTGACACCCGTGACAAAAATCTTTATGCTTGTAACATGGAAAAAGCATTACTTTGCAAGTCACTCACAATATAGACTCATTTTAATAGAACAACAGGTCAGAACAGAAAGGCGTTTTTAAATATGGTATTTCAAAAAATGTTTGGGACACCCAGTGTAAATGCTAAGGTTAAAGAAAAACACAAGTACCCCCTCCCTTCCCCATGCCTAACTCATATTTTTACAAAATGAAAAAAAATTACTCACTCTGTCACGACGACTGGCTATTTCTGCTTTAATCTGATATGGGTCATACTTGGTATTAGTTGAAAATCCAGAGAATGCTAAACAGATGGAAAACAGTATTTTATGTTATTTTTTTTCTTCTTTAATACACTTGTTAAGATGTGGCGCTATTTAATAGACCATTGCATTCATTCTTTGTGTTACAAGTCACTAGGTTTAAAAATAATCCTCTGTGCTAAAGTACAACTGAAGAATTATCTTTAGCCTATTGAATTTTTTTTTGTCCTGAACAACAACAAAAATTGTATATAGCAGCACTATACACATATTGCCTAAAAGCAACTGGCTTCCATGACAGGATGGTGACATTTACTGATGCAAGCAATTTGTGTAACATTAACAACTGCTAATTGCTTCCCAGGTATGTTGACATAACAGTATGATAGGGACTAAAGGAACAAAACTATTGTCAGAACAAAATTCAGTCAGCTACGGGGAGAAGTTGCCTTCTAAAGCAACAGTGCACGGAACCGACACGCAGCTCAACCTCTGGCAAGTGAGCTTGTAACACAGCGTTATCTAGTCAGGCAGTGATTTCAAGCTGTGCCATTACAACCTAAAGCCTAAAACAGATGAAGTAATGGTCCTAGAGGATAGGCTGGGCAAGACCAACCATGATTTATTGACTGAGCCATTCATGGCAGCACCCACTGAAACATGCCCGGTATGCGAGCGGATGGGGTTGTGCTGTTAGACCTACCATCCTTTCGTAGAGCTGAAGGCTGCTGCTTTGAGACCCATATCCATGTCTGCGTTGCACTGAGCCTTTCAACTCTCGAAAGAATACTGCAACACCAAGGTCATGTCAAGCATGCAGGAATTTGCCAAAATGAATAGTCATGCTTGGACTAATTCTCTAAATCCAGGATTTTCTATGGATTTTTTTTTAAAAAAAAAAACAAAAAAAAACAGTGCTGATCACAACTGAGTCACAAAACTGCTGCATGGGCACCTCCCTGCCAACCCACAACCGCTGAGCTCACACCACCTCCCACTCATGAGCACACGACACTGAGTCAATGGCAGCACCCTCAAGCAAAGAGGAGGAAAACAGTTTGTGAAGTTTTAGTTCTTTTAATGCAACAGATTGAAACAAGCGGTGGTGGAGGCAGGAATATTCACAATATAAGCACTCAACTTTGGCCATCTAATTGCACGTGAATTAGGAGCCTAAGATTTCTGTACAGTAGATAGAGAAACAAGCATCCCAGAATAGAGTCAAATTAAGAAAAACAACTGAAGAAGCCTTGGGGAGTTAATAGCACGATTAATCCCTAAAGGGATTTTTTTTTTTTTTAAATATATCATCTGACTAATTAGCCCAGCCCATTTTCTCAAAACAGATGCATGTGACCTTAAACAAATATAAAATACATTAACACATGTGTAGAAAATCAAAATATTTTTTAAATTCAAAACAAGTGGAAGGTTTTATTTAAATTATTTGACAGTATCTCATTATCAATTCCATAGGTATACCTAAAAAACCAAACCATCAGAAGCCTAAAAAACATAAAAGTCGACTGACATAGCTTTTGCATTCATGCTACAGATGACCTACAATTTTGTCATTTCCAGTCATTTTTCTGCTGTTTCAAGCAACTTGGAAAAACAAAAGCTTTGAAAATAAGAAAAACGGCTTATATTTTTTCTAGTATTCTATCATTTGAACAGAAGCTTGTTTCTTTATATTAACTTGAAGTAATTCAACAAAACTTCCCACAGAACTATTGCAAATTAAAAAAAAAAAGCTCCTAAAAAAGTATTGTAGTAAATATATAGATTACAATCTAAAAAACCTGATGACACTACCTTTTACCCTATTCCAAGTCTTTAACCTATAGTTTAACACTCTTTAAACAATAATTTCTTTTTAAAAATTTCTTTCATAATAAAAAAAAAAAATCATGTTTTGTAATAATTCTTAAGAAACTTGAACATAACAGGGAGAAATTAGATTAGTCATAACTGTTCAGTTATGTCACAAATTAAATCACAGAATACATATATTTAAAAATAAACAAAAAGATGAGAATCCCAGTTCAACAGTAAAAGAACACCTGACCAAGACCACCTATGACACCTCAGTCCTAGAAAATATCTTTTACTGAGGATTGTGGTATAATATGAATTATCTTGATTAATAAATACCACTGGATTAGTAGCTAAACACTTCTATCCAGATGCCTGCTTTAACTGCCCCCCCCAGTCAGGTTTCTTTAATGTTTCAGGAAGTTCTAAGCAGAGCTTCCCATACTTATCAAGTACTTGGCATTTACCAAAAAATTCTGCAGTTTGAACAATGGCTGTACACACAGCAGCCACCAGTACAAACTACACTGTTTCCATGTGGCTGGTACATATATCCATTTGATATACCACTTTCAACTAGACGGCTTTAACTCTTCAGCAAAGAAACCTTTTCCTGTTGCATCACCCAACAGCTGTAACAGCAGTGCAACAACTTCAGATTTCAAAAAAAGTGTATAATCTACTCCAAGTTATCAGAAACATCTGTTGAGTGAAAAGGGCAAGATACCAAAGCTCTGCAACCTTCACCACCAGCATCAGGATCAGAGGCTGGCATTCAAGAATGAGGTGCACTAATGAAACACCGCTTCCTACTTCACGGTCAGAGGAACTCTTGACCACCCCATCTTGTCCCTAACTCTTTATAAAAAGTCAATAAACCAACCATGGATCTGCAGAAGGCCTCTGATAAGATGATGGTTCCCCCTGCACGTTGATGGTGGAATAATCTATAAATTTAAGAGTGCAAGTACGTGGCTGGTCCACCAACATTCAATCTTTGTTGCCTTGCATGAAGCATCACTACGGCTGGCTTTGAGATGGCTAGAGATGCTAGCTGGGATATATGACTGTTTAATGTTAAAAAGGCATATTCTAATAGATAGACGTAACAGGAAATGGAAGACCCTGAATAGCAGTCAAAGGATATCACCTCACTTCTATAGTCAGAATCTTAATTCAGAGGAGAAACAGGCGATGGAAACACTTCCCATTATTTCTTACACTATGTTGTGAGAGGCAAGTGGGTAAATCAAGAAAAGACTAGTAAACTCACAGCTGGCATAAGAACGGCTGTCATCCTCACACATTTTGTGCAATTGTTGATATTCTTCTTGGGCTAGTTCAAAACGCTGCTGTTTTATTTGGTAAATCTCCTTCTTGGCATTGAGTGCCTCCTGGGCAACTATTAAATATTCTTTTAGCATGCGTTCCTGCTCCCTTCTCCATTGCTCCCTTGGGTCCTCAATTTGTGTGAGCTCTAAGAAGAAAAGCATAAAAAAATCAAAATAAAATTTGTAAGACACTTTATCCCACAAAGTACAAATCATTTTGTTAAGGTCTGTTCTCAACTAGCACATCCAGCACTACAGTGCTCAAAATCACTACAGCCTGGATGAGAAGAAGAAAGAATGAAGAGTGGAAGAACAGGAAAAGCCCTTTCAAATACAAAAGGCATTTAAATTAATTATTTTCTTTACAAACTACAGCAAACCCAAAAAAAACAGTGTTTTGGCTCTAACCTTCCCTTGCAGTCAACTTGAAAATTCTGAGAACTACCTAAAACCCCAGAACCACGTAGGTGAATTAAAGGTATCTCAATACTTAGCCCATAACTCTAGAAATGGTTGGAACAACCTCAGGATACTACATACAACTGCACAAGTATAACATCCTAAAAGGTCAGGATTACCTGTGTAATTAAGAATACGATCATTTCACAGAAAAGTTAGCATTTTAATCTCAAGTCCATAAAAGCATTTAAATTGCTTATTTTTATTGTCTTATAGCACTCTCATTCTATCCCTTTCCAGAGTATTCAACAGTTCATATTCAAACATAAATCAAAGATAGGTTTCCAGTATAAAATCTTCCCCCTATATACTGATTTTCAAAGTTATTACCATTCAGCAATCTCTTTTTGGACTGACAAAGACATTTGGGGAGGACACATGCATTAAAATCCTAAAATATTACTGGTTCATTTCATTTCTTTTTGTGGTGATGCTCAAGCTAGCAAATATGTTTCACATGAGGATGTCCATGTAAAATCTCATGTTTAAGTGAATGTTAATTTCTGATGATTGAGGCTCTACCAGCAAGAAGTTGCTGTATGTTCAAAGTAGTCGCATAACTGGCAGCACAGTCAGGAGGTAAGCATCGTCATTTTTCCAAACTTTGTTTCTCACAACAGATGAAAGCCAGTTGTTTTTTATTAATCTTTCATACATAATTTAGTATATTGGTGCCAGTGATGAAACAAGAAAAGATTGAGCCCAACACATTAAGAACTCTAAGGCTGTCAAGGGTCATGATAGCAGCTCTACCACCTGAACTATTTGAACAGTACATAAACAAAACCATAAAGCTCATCTAGGAACAGTATTTCCAACAGATTTGTGTATCAGGTTCTGAATAACCTTTTCTCTCAACAGCTGTAACTTTTCTCTCCCCACAAGTCCTCGCACTGCAACACTTGTACGTACAGTTTTGCAATCTCTCCCCCCATCCCAGGGACCCTTGATTCCCTGGAGCACCTTCAGGCTCCAATGCCTCCAAGCTACCTATGAGGCCCAGGAGAGGACATGCTATGGCTTGTTGCAGTCTCCATAAATCCTCTTCTGCATGCAGGGCAAGCTTAAGAAAACAGAGTTCACACTGCAGCCCATCCTTTACTGAGGGCATGAAAATTTGCAACACTCTCATTTGTCCTTAAGTATTCCTGAAATCTGTACAAATTTAATATTCCTAAAACTGCTAATGTAGAAATTAATAAATACATAGGAGACATAAAAGCTGGATCCTAGTAAGTGTCTCTTTTTGAATAGGAAATTAATAGTTTTAATCTCAATAAACAGCCATGCCTAAAATGTTACACTGTATCATACATTAAACTTCTGAGGTCCTATACTACCAGACACTGCATCCCTTATCAAATTATTTCAGAAGCCATCTCAAAAGCTAGCAGCATTTTTCTGAGGCAGAAAACTTCTTCAGTACAGCAGTGACGTTCTCTGCTGTTTTATAAAGTACAGAGGCTTCACTTTACCCTGGATTTCTACACAAGTTTGCCATGTAACAACAAAACTAAAGCTACACTGTATGATAAAATTAACTTCCTTCATTTCGTTATATCTTGTTGAAAAAAGTAAAAATAAAATACTACAGTAATTCAAGAACAGCTCCAGACAAATGCAGAGAATATATTATTCCCTCACTGGGGAATGCCCAACTGGTTAAAGGAGACTTCAAAGGCTCCCAAGACTCTGAGGAGGAGGGAAAGGAATTCTGCGGCTGGCAGCCGCTGAAGTTTTTAAGCAATGGTTGGACAAGAGCCAAAAGCAGCTTAGTAAGGGTGTCAACAAAGTACTGAATTTACAGAACACGATGGCGATCGGGGTTGGAAGCACCATTGAGATTTACAGAAGATTCCTCTGTTCCTGGGGTTTTTCAATATAAATGGAAGGTTATTGCCTAGAAATCTTTTTATTACTTTCTGGGTAAACAAACATAGCAAGAGGCTAGGAAAAATCAGATGCATTACTGTTTTCTTTTAAAAAGTGCAAGGGCAAAAAGTTTGAGACAGTGCACAAAGTATAAGAGGTCCCTTTTGAAATACTCTTTGCATTATTCCTTGCATTTTCTCACAGTATTTCTTGAAACCAAAGCACTTCTGTTTTGTCAATTAACACAGAACTCCAACGCTGTGTAAAGCATTTAACCCGGTCAGCCACAAAAGGCAGTCCGAATGTTTTCCTGTGGAAGTTGCCAATCCAAGTATCTTAGACATAGTTCAGAATACAATGTAAGGGACTCACTTCAGACAAACATTTCTTCAGTTCCTACACCATCTCTGCCACTTGCCTGACACCACATCATGATGCACATAATTGTCTACTCATTAGTTCTCACTTCTACAAAGGAGGTTAATGCAGTCTGTACCTTTGTTATCTACCATTTACAATTGGACCAAGTATCCTACTAATTTTTGAATAATAATTACCCAGCTATAGTATCAACTCTGTCTTCTCTCTGAATATAAATCTTGCTTGTATATGCAAGCACTGTATTAGCCTAAGGGTGACAAACCCATTTTGCTGTGACAGTTGAACTACCATTTAGGATAATATCTGTGGGCTGCAAGTAATTAGTTATCATGAAAGAGACAAATTTTGCAACCTTGTTAATTGCAGAATGATTCTTTTGACTCAGTTTAGCATGGGCCCTATGAAGTTTCTATCCCTCTGTTCATATATTACCTTTTTTTAGTTGCTAATATGATTAGCTTTACTTTCCCAGATCCATTTATACTAATCTCCTCTTTCTGTGCCTTCCCACTGAGCATTGGGGAACTCAATTTCTCTCTGCAAAAACTCTCTTCTACAGGTTTTGCTCTCAACTGCACAGAAAAAAATGCAAGCCAGATCTGACATGCCTACAACAATTAATATCCTTTCTGTAAGTTCAAACTTAATGTCTACAGTAAAGCAGCTAATTACAAAGTCTGAAAAGCAAAGAGTAGTAATTCCTTTTGCATGCAATGGTGATTGTTATTCCTATCAAATATGCCTATACGGAGGAAGCTTCAGGAGATTTTTTAATCACAGCATTGCAATGGGAGTTCATGTTCTATTCATTATCTTTAGGGCCTCCTAAAGCCTTTTACAAAGTTCAAGGAAAAGAAAAAAAAAAAAAAAAAAAAAAAAAAAAAAAAAAAGAGTTGCCAATATACTCTATTGTATTTTTTTTAAAATAAGTGCATTCATACCAGTGTATATAATTTGCTGCAAATGCATTCCATTACCGTACTCCAGTATAAACCTCACTTTTCATTAAACTTCAACACTAACTAAAGTTACCATGACAGTTTAAACAGCAATCATTAAGCTACTACTACTTTTAAACAGTTATTGTAAGAACTACCTAACAGTCTGTATTTATTGCCTTTCAATTGTCTCAGCCATCTATCCTTGTGATCAGTGCATGAACAGCTCTTGAAAGTTTATTATTTGATTTGTGATCTTTGTTAATTTCACAACAAGTAAGTGCCTGGGTCAAACAATATCATGGGAACATTTGTTATTCTGTTGGGTTTTGGTTTTTTTAAATAAGTAATTGTGAAACCACAATACACAAGTAATTCCAATGATGGCAGGAAGCCAAAAACTATTTCTACTTTTTTTTTTTTTAATTGACTAGATTTCAAGTAGATAGTATTGAGATTGGTTTTGCAGATTGTACTATTTACCATTGCTGTGATAGCCCACATTACTTTCTTCTTTTCTGTCTCCCTACCATCAATTCCCACCATATTGAAAGCATTCACTCGTTGGTGATAAGAAGCACAACAGTAACAGCAACAGTAGTACAAAGCTATAAAGATAAGACTTTTTTTTAAAAAGTAGAACTGGCAAATGTGCCAGTCAGTGGCGATACAAAGCTCAACAATAGCCCAAAAGAGAAAATGTTGGAAATTTCTCCCTCTTGGTTTCCAAAAGGGAGATTCATTGTCTTTTTGATTGCACTTTGTGCTGTATTAAAGCATTGTTTAAGAGAGGATGAGATTATTGTATTTCATAGTGCTTCCAATTAAAAATCAGCACTTCAGCACAAGTGCTGAGATCAGCACAATCTCAGAACGTATTTTGGTTTTCAATAGAGAAGTTAACCTCAGATGACTTAGAAAATACAAGGGTATAACATAACGAACTTCATAACTGACATATGAAAAAAAAAAAATTACTGATACTCCACAGTACAACAAAGCAAAACAAAATAGTTTCACACATTATAACTCAATCATAGGTTGTAAAATTCTTTACAAATGGAAGGATTGTGTCCTTATTTGACAGATAAGAAAACAGACACTGCAAGAAATTACGTGCATACATTTTCTCATTGTATCATGAGGTGCCTAAATGGTATCAGAAACAAAGCTAACATCAGCTTGCTACGGTTCCTCAAAAGAATCACAGATCTACTCACGATTTATGTGGTCCATATAATAAACTCCAATCTGTTGATCGTAAACAGTTTCCCATCCTAAAGGGAGCTCATCACCGACACAGTCAGCAAATGTCAATGGCTTTGTAATCCTGTAAAAATAATAATAATGCAAATAAATACAAAAGGTATAGAGTTTACAGTGCAATAAATGTTATTACATGTTTTGAAGATACCTCCATCATTTGATCACAAACTAGTTATGCTGCTTAGGAATGTGCTAATAATTGCAAGCATACAATTTCAAAATAAAATTTCATTTAAATATGCTGACAGATACTCCCTGAACAGGTAAGACAAGCCTCTCCCTTCAAGTTTCTATGTTTAACAGTTTAATTACAATGGCATGTAGTCCTGCCAGTTTTTCTCACATATTGCAAAGAACACAAATGTGAAGCTGGAGTTCACCACTGCTAAAAATTACTAGAAGCTTTAATAGGCTTTAATTTCTTTAAGGTGTCAAAGCAGTGTAATTGTATGTCCCTTAAAAATGAAATAAAATTTAAGAAAGCACTATGTAATATATTTCTTCTCTTTTTAGTTACACTTTTCCAACTGTTTAATGATATTCTCTTGGTCCAGACCCATCCCAATTGCTTCCTCTCCCTCAAAAAGAAGGGACATAAACAAATGTCTCCAAAGAACTCTTTAGATATTAGAGCAGAAATAGTAAATAATAAGTAACAGCATTACTATCTAGAAGCTTAAAATATCACACCCCTTGCTAGGCAAACTCTTCATAGACCAGTGGGTAATAGAAAGCCAAAACAGCAATTTCAGTATTGACAGGAATGTTGAAAATACTAGGTTACAAATTCTGTGGGAAGACTCTACACTAACACTGTTCTAGAACATCAAGGTAAATTAAAAAAAAAAAAACAAAACAAAACAAAACACCAACAGGAAGAACAAATGATACAAATAAATAAATTGTTAACATTCAGCTGAATCACATCTATTTCCCAAATCATCATTTTAATCATATCTTAACCACTAAGATAATGTTCTCCTCTGAAAGCTGCCATAAAATTCCTTTATGGAAAAGCTATTAATGTAGTCATTTCAATTATACCTTGGACATAGTTTCAAAACCTTCAGTGTTTATTTGTGGAGGCATTTCTAATACCTAGAATGATGACAGCTTTGCAAAGATGAAATACATGCATTAATTTAGGGACTGACTTAAGCTCTGCATAACCTATGGCATAATACTGTTTGGCATAAACTGGAAATTATGTTCATATGGTATAATACCCAGTTAAGGTTTCCTGACACTAGATTTGGACTATGCTTACAAATACACTGCAGAATAGGAAGATCATTGGAACTGGTAACTGCACTTCATCTGGTAACACCTGTATAAACAGTAACTCAGTCTGAACTAAATCATGTCTGTCTTTTTACTATAAGTCCTTCCCCACCCCAAAACAAAATCAACCAGAAGAATCCAACGGTAAACACTTCAAATGATGGAAATGCTACTATGTCCACATTCTAGTTATTCCAGTGGTCCAGTAATCACACCATTCAACAGTTAACAAAAAGCACATAACTGCACACACAGCAGAGAGAAAATATATTTACTTGCTTCCTGAAAATATTTAAGTATTTTTGAGATTAACGTATTCAAAATTAACTGTAGTAGAATAAAAAAAAATATCATCACAAGCTTAAAATTTTTTTAACAGCTCAGTATAACAGCACAAAGATCAAGCTATTTAGGTCAAAGAAAGAGCTTGATCATATGCTATGGATTCTCAAACATGTGCAAACAGTTTAATAAGATGAAGATGTACATAAATTTGTACACCACTAAAGTAAAAACTTTCCATTACTGACAAATACATAGTTTACATCATGTAATCATACAAATCTAAAGCTGCTGTATTCAAGAAAGAAAATGTTAATATGGACTGGCATATGTATTATTTCAGTAATTCATCTAACAGTCAGGCAGAACAATTATTGCCAAGATACTTCTGATCTCTCTGGAATTCAGTCAAATATTAAAAATATAACATGCAGAATTTTTTCTTAAACTCTTATGGTTTTGTTCTGAAGACACCATGTTTACAATTTCTCAAAGTAGTCTAGACATCAGCTCCTAAATTACCACACTATAGGCAAGATTTTCTTTGGAATGAGTTATGAGACATGCTTGCCTGTTATACAAACACACCCTCGCCCTTTATTCGTACATAAAACCTGCACATGATACTCTAACCTTACAAGAACTTTAATTCAATGCTTTCTGTGATCCCACCATGGCTCAGGCTTCCAGGACAAGGACAACGCTCACTTTTTGGAAAAGGGAGACTGAAGAAAGCCAATGCATCTGGCCTAACCGGTTTTCATTCCAATGTTATAAAAGCATGCATGAACAGTTTAATTAATGGGTTTGAAGGAAACTTTGTAGGAAAAAGAATACATAAAAACCTGTCTTCCAGATATTCAGACCATTAACAACTTGATGTTGCGTATTTTAAACTATATTCAAAGTTGTCCCAAAATGGATTCCCTTCAGACAAAGCTAACATCACACTGATTCTCAATTCAGTCACGGTTATATCTATGCAGCCTCTGAACCTTCTTCATTCAATTCATCTAGGTCAAAACATGCAAAGCTTAAACTAAGAACTTGAAGTTTCTCCCTGTGTCTTGCACTGGCTTAACCAAGTTGACTGAAAAATATATTTCTGATTTAACACACACAACTCTGAGAACAAGATTATTTTTTTTTCCAGTTAGGGAAACTAAGGGTTTCCAGAATAACAAAGACAAAATAGAACTGATGCAGATATGTATATTGGAGGTCAGCCACAAATTACAGCACTACACTGCTGAAATTGTGTCTTCTGCAAATACTGCTTTACTCTCTAGGTTTTTTTAATTAGCTCAAACACTATAAAATAGGACAAGTCTTTTCTGCTTCTGTATAAACAACCGTACAAGGAACACCTGTTGCAATATTTCAAAGTATTACAATAAAGACAAAACAACTTTTCAAAACATTATAAAGACAAAGAGAATAAAAATGCTGCCATCTTTAATTAAATAAAAAACAGGGTTGCCCTGAAGTATGCTATTCACAGTAGTAAAGAAGTACTAAGGCATTTTATCTGTCACCAATGATCATCTCCTATCCCACCCATGGCAACTGGTAAACACTAATAAGAAGGTTCAGAACTTCCAGCTGAAGATAGAATTCCTCCAAGACCAGTTTACAACAATAACTGGTTGTGGCCACTGGATCTACAGCCCAGGTAAAAGTAAGCGTGGTCCACAGGAGCCAATTTTGCATATATCAGAGCCAACCATAACTTATAATTAACTGATTTTCTGATTTTTCATTATCTTTAAATGTTTATCTTTCCAAAAAGTAATTATTCTCTTCAGTCATTAGGTACCCAATTTTTTATGAGTCTGAAACCTTTCAAAAGCAAATACAGAAACATGTAAGAAAGCTTCCATAACCCAAATCCTGAACACCAAGCTGAGAGAAAAATCTTTAAGCGTTGTCATGTGCCTTGGATCTGCCCCAATTAAATACTGTCATTAAGAAGAAATGGAAGTCTGGTATTTGCATGCAGTCAAACAGACATATCTGAAACCCCCAGTTCTGTTAACATGTTCTCTGCATCAATTATCAAATTAAACAGAATACAGAAATCAAACTAAAAAATAAAACTGAGCAGTTGAATAAAACTGTTTCTGACAGAGGCATTTTTCCTACTCCTTGTGTACTTATTTCATATTTTTATCCATCAACTATACACAGAAGGATTCCAGCTACTACATCCTTCTGAATATGCAGCAACAAAAGATATTTCTTGAATGCATCAGTTCATGGTGGGGAGTAGGTGAGAAGGAAAGAAGACAGTAGAAGGCAATAGCTAAATACCATTTTAAACAAATTACTGCAAAACTGCCCTTAGCTTTAGCATACTTTGTTAACAAAATCTGATTTCAACCCCCTGAAAAACCACAGAAAACCTCAACCTTTAAATAATAAATGAACAGCTCTAGCATACTTCAACTCTCTAAAACACAGTTTGACTGGTAGCATGGGGCAGAAATTTCACTGTCATGGACTTTCAAAAACAGAACCAGATCACCAAACCACAAAGCATCAGAAAATACTAGATAAGATCCTCAGTCTTCCCATGGCCCTGATGCCACATCAGAGGGCCCTGGCTGCTTAAAATCCCTATGTCTAATTGAGCAAAACTTCCCCTGGGAGGAACTAAATTAAGACAAACAGAGCCTGTTTTTGCAAGGTTTTGAACAGGAAATCGAAAAGGTGTTTCCAAAGTGTTTGCAAACTAGCTGCCATTTCTCAGACAACATCTAGATGCCTAAATTACACCCAGAGTCACTTTATCTGCCAAAGTAGGCCTGGATAAAGAGAAAAGCATTAACCATGAGGGCTAATTATTAAAAAGACCCACCAATTTCTGAAAAAAAGCCACCAGGTGTAGGGGAAACAGAAGGATGCAAGAACAGCAACTGCCAACAAGTACTTTTTGGTTTTGTTCCTGATTTCAGTCAGGTGCAACAGCAGAGGCAGAAAGTGTCTACTATGATACTCAACAGAAAACTAGGAGAAACATTCTCTTAAATCTGATCTCAGCCTGAATAGCCATCTAATGGGATAGATGGTTTTGTCTGACAAATGGGAATACAAGCTAGAAAAATGTATTAATTCACATTACAGATCTGAAAAATATCAGGCAACTTAAAAATGAGTAACAGTATAACTAGAAGAGAATTAAACATTCTGATAAATCTAGCAATAGTTTATCCAAAGTACTATGCTGAATATATTAATGAAGTGTCACAAGGCAAGACAGAGAGAAGGCAAAATGTGTAATCATGCACACATTGAAAGCCTTTCAGCCAGACTTTTTTTTCTTACCTCCTTTCAAATATTAATTTAAATTACAGCCATTGTTATAAAATTCAACTAATCCTCTTGTCTTGTACCACAGCTCTTACCCCCTCCAAACACACAGCAAAAAAACTCAAGAAATTGAGAAGGAATAGAAGATGATTTTTTTTTTTGTCTTTCACAGACACAGGCAACAAGCTGT